CAGCAGGTATGTTCTTTTGTTGACCTGTATCTTTCAGGGTTGTCACCCAAGTCATCCGTGTCATTAACATTTTCTCCTTTTAAACAGCGATCAACATTTTTTTTAATTCGAATGTAAGGTTTTGTTACATTTTCCCTCCGTTTCCATACAAAAATGCTACTGCGCTGCTTTCAGATTCCTTTCCTCTGCTTGTTTGTTCATTTTCAATAACTCGATGCTCTAATTAACATTTTTTTGCTGATTGAGACCCCTTTTCCTCATTGTTTACCTCTTTGCTATTCAAATTTTCTCAAACACCACGCTGATAACAGTGCTAGGCAATACCTATTATGCGTATGCTTCCGTTCCGTTACTCAGATACAGAAAATATGGTATATGTTTTGTTAGTAGGGACTTTTTACAATAACATCATAGTACAGCTTCGGTTACTGTATCAGGGCCCGTATTCATGAAACCGTTCTCATGCTCAAGTATGGAATTTGTGCCCAAGCCAAATTTCCTGTTCTAGTTATAAATTCATAAACAAATATAATTTTTTCAATGATTTGGAAAAACAATGAAGAGACTTAAAGCCGAAAACTGTTTCAATGTTTACATTTGACATTTTGATGGTTTGGCAAGACTTAACCAAGTTGCAAGAAAGCAGGCTTGAGCACAGAATCCATGCCTGAGCATGAGAACGGCTTCATGAAAACGTGCTCAGGTGTCTCGTTTGTTTCCATTGCAGATTTAATTCAGCAAAGTGTTTTATATACAGTAGATGACGCTAAGCTTGAGTTATTTGTTTGCTTAAATTCGTGGGGCGACATGTTCCGGTGCTAGTACATGTATTTGGGTTGAACTTCATCAGGGTTAAGCACATAAACTCATTATATTGAAAATATTTCGAAATACAATGGATTACAGTGGAGTTGAAGTAATACAAAAAGGGAAGAAAACAGGTAGGTACAAACGGGTCTCTATGTGGCTGGTTGCACCACTAGGAAACGTATTCCCGTCCCTAGCTATGACCAGTGTAAAAATTGCTGTGATGGGTCTGGCTTCAAAACATCAACTTGATAGTGGACTGTTCGCCACAGGTCCGATGAAGTGACTTGACGCGCTACTTGATAGAAAGACAAGGAATAATTTAATCAACTAAAGAAAAACACACCAAGCATAGGTTCATCTTTCATTCTCCGCAAATATATAACTTTTCTCATTTCTATATCTTAATGTAAAAACTGAAGCGCTAGTCATTTCATTTATACACGCGTAAATATATTTTACAATAAAACATGCAAATGACAAAAAGAAAAATATAAATAACACCCTGCCGTTTAACAAGACTTTAAACTGGGACGAAGTTTGAGCAATTCTGTTGAATTAGTCATGTTCCAGATGACATTCATATTGACTATGAATGTCAACTGAAAGATGTTTAATACTTATATTTAACATTTTATAAATATCTAATCTCATAAATAAATGTATCAATACAAAAAATAGCTGAAATGGGCATATGTTTCGCTTATGATTGTTTAATGAGTAGAAAATCAATCTAGGCTAAATGGTATCCAACGTTAAAATATTATGACGTCGGCATCTTTGAAAATATGGAAGAAAAGAACTTTGTTGCATTAAAGGATTAAAATGCATTTTCAAACATTTGTGATAGCATTTAACACAGTTCAAACAAATTCAATAATGCGCACTGGCAAATGTAAAAAAAGATATATTTCAATCCTTATTTACATTCAAAATAACAAGACGATATTTTATTGTCGTTCTTTGTGGTTTCATACTATTCGAGATACATTTTAAACAAACTATTAGACAAACTAACGGAAGCACCAGTTTCTTATTATCAAGATTGTGCTTTCTATGGCTACAGTTTCAACTATAGTTAAGGAACGTCAATCGGAAACTATTCGCGATTTTCCGTCATAATTTTAAATTGACGTTACGTCATGATTGGTTCCTGATTACACAAACAATTTTAACGGAAATACCCGAACAGTTTCCGTGAGATGGTTATTGCTGTTAATAGATTATAAGAACTGGACAATACCATGTAAATAAACCGTTATAATTGTTAGGAAGATGCATTAAAAACCATAAATGAATAGCGTCTTGACGTTTTAGGCTAGTATACTGGCAGTGTCGTAGAACAGAGAACATAATATAATAAGAACGCCATTTTTTACAGCGATGAATTGGGCATGGCACAATTAAACGAGAGACACATCTGCGGCAATATCCCGAATCACAAAGCACTTTTAAAAACCAACACACACAGATATTTGTGTAAATGTACATACATGTATATGTATGTATAATTATAAACATACAATAAATTGAATAAAAAGGTGTGTGTGAAAGTACAACACATCGTTGTTAAAATAACAAATACACAGTATCATATTGTATACACAGTATAAATGATTACACTCCCATGATGCTACATATTTATATTAAAATAACCCGTATGTTCATTGACAAACACATTTTGTGGAAGTATCAACACGCAGTATGTTTAATTTCAAACACAATATGTGGAAGTATGAACACAGTAGGTGTAATTACAAACAAAATATGTAGAATTATGAACACACAGTATGTTTAATTTCAAACACAATATGTGAAAGTACGAACAAACAGTATGTGTAATTACAACCACAATATGTAGAAGTATGAACACATAGTATGTGTAATTACAAACACAATATGTGGAAGTATGAACACAAAGTATGTGCAATTACCAACACAATATCTGGAAGTACACAGTAGGTGTAATTACAAACAAAATGTGTAGAATTATGAACACACACTATGTTTAATTTCAAGCACAATATGTGTAAGTATGAACACACAGTATGTTTAATTTCAAGCACAATATGTGTAAGGATGAACACACAGTATGTGCTTGAGCACAGAATCCATGCCTGAGCATGAGAACGGTTTCATGAATACGGGCCCTGATCATACTTCCACATATTGTGTAGGTACAAACACAATATGCAGAAGAATGAACACACAGTATGTGTAGGTACAAACACAATATGCAGAAGTATCAACACACAGTATGTTTAATTTCAAACACAATATGTGGAAGTATGAACACAGTAGGTGTAATTACAAACAAAAGATGTAGAAGTATGAACACACAGTAAGTGTAGGTACAAACACAATATGTGGAGGTATGAACACAAAATATGTGTAATTACAAACACAATATGTGGAAGTATGAACACACAGTATGTGTACTTACAAACACAATATGTGTAGGTATGAACACAATATATGTGTAATTAAAAACACAATATGTGTAATTATGAACACACAGTATGTGTAATTACAAACACAATATGTAGAAGAATGAACACAAAATATGTGTAATTACAAACACAATATGTGGAAGTATGAAAACAAAGTATGTGTATGTATGAACACACAGTAGGTGTAATTACAAACACAATATGTAGAAGAATGAACACAAAATATGTGTAATTACAAACACAATATGCAGAAGGATGAACACACAGTACGTGTAGGTACAAACACAATATGTGTAGGTATGAACACAATATATGTGTAATTAAAAACACAATATGTGTAAGTATGAACACACAGTATGTGTAAGTACAAACACAATATGCAGAAGAATGAACACACGGGATGTGTAGGTACAAACACAATATGTGCAGGTATGAACACAAAATATGTGTAATTACAAACACAATATGTGTAGGTATGAACACAAAAAATGTGTAATTACAAACACAATATGCTGAAGTATGAACACACAGTATGTGTACTTACAAACACAATATGTGTAGGTATGAACACAAAAAATGTGTAATTACAAACACAATATGCAGAAGTATGAACACACAGTATGTGTAATTACAAACACAATATGTGGAAGTATGAACACACAGTATGTGTAATTACAAACACAATATGTGTAGGTATGAACACAAAATATGTGTAATTACAAACACAATATGCAGAAGTATGAACACACAGTACGTGTAGGTACAAACACAATATGTGTAGGTATGAACACAATATATGTGTAATTACAAACACAATATGTGGAAGTATGAACACACAGTATGTGTAATTACAAACACAATATGTGTAGGTATGAACACAAAATATGTGTAATTACAAACACAATATGTGGAAGTATGAAAACACAGTATGTGTATGTATGAACACACAGTAGGTGTAATTACAAACACAATATGTAGAATTATGAACACACAGTAGGTGTAGGTACAAACACAATATGTGGAGGTATGAACACACATAGTATGTGTAATTACAAATACAATATGTGGAAGTATAAACACACATTATGTGTAATTACAAACACAATATATGGAAGTATGAACACACAGTATGTGTACTTACAAACACAATATGTGTAGGTATGAACACAAAATATGTGCATTTACAAACACAATATGTGGAAGTATGAAAACACAGTATGTGTATGTATGAACACACAGTAGGTGTAATTACAAACAAAATATGTAGAATTATGAACACACAGTAAGTGTAGGTACAAACACAATATGTGGAGGTATGAACACACATAGTATGTGTTATTACCAACACAATATGTGGAAGTAGGAACAAACAGGATGTGTAATTACAAATACAATATGTGGAAGTATAAACACACATTTTGTGTAATTACAAACACAATATATGGAAGTATGAACACAAAGTATGTGCAATTACCAACACAATATCTGGAAGTATGAACAAACAGTATGTGAAATTACACACACAATATGTGTAGGTATGAACACAAAATATGTGTAATTACAAACACAATACTTGTAAGTATGAACACACAGTATGTGAAAGTATGAACACACAGTATGTGTAAGTACAAACACAATATATAGAAGTTTGAACACACATTCGTTTAATTACAAACACAATATGTAGAAGTATATACACACATTATGTGTAATTACATGCCACTTCCAATGATGATAGAACACACAGTACGTGTAAGTATTAACACAATATGTGGAAGTATGAACACACAGTAGGTGTATTTACAGACACAATATGTGGAATTATGAACACAAAGTATGTATTATTACAACTACATTAGGTGTTTATTCACCATATGTTTGAAGGTGTTCTTACAAACAACCAGTACATGAATTACAAACTCATTGCATATGTACTATCAAACACCACGTATTTATCATAACAAACAAATCATATGTTTAATTACAAACGCAAAGTGAGTTTAAATACAAATACAGGTGGCGTGTAATTACATAAATGTTGTGTGTATATACGCATTTGTTATTACAAACACATGGTACATTTAACTGCAAATGATGTTTTTTAATAACAAACAAAGTTGGCTATAACAATCAAACAGTGTATGTAATGTCACCCTGGTAAATACTAGCCGCTTCTTACCGACTCGTGTAGAAAGAATTCCTGTTTAGCATATTGGGTAGAGAGTAAGACTAGTTAACCAGAGGTCCTTATGTGGGCGACATTTTAACAAATGTCATCAAATATTTTAATGCCTCCGCTAGGAGTCGAACCTGGGACCTCTAGTAAACTAGCGAAGAGAAATTCTCAGTAGCCGAGTCGGTAGGAAGCGGCTAGTATTTTACCAGGGTGACAGTAATAAAACTCAAATGTTCAATTCAAACCCCACTCAACGTATGTATATTTAAAAACATTGCTTGAACTAAAAAAAATAAGGCCATTTATCTTTATTGGCATTTGCTCGAAACATTCATGTCCTGCTGTATTCTGCGTTTGGTGAAAGGACTGAGGATGACCAGTGTGATGAGAGACAAGACCCCATAGGTTACCATGGCTGTGACAATGCCGGACGTGTCAGGCTCGACTTTAAGCTTGCTACTGTACGTCTCGAGGTCGGTGTAAGCAGCCCAAAACTCCAACAGTGTCCCCACTACGCACAGAACATGGAACACTTGATGACCCTGGCCGACAATATCAAACTTTCCCGGAAAGACTCGTTCTGGTAAATGACTAGAGAAAAAGAAAACAGATATTGTGGATACCATGAAGACACGTGTGTGGTGATTTAAGGAAGACATGGTGCAGGCATCGTTCAACCAACAATCCCAGTACCGCACTATCACAAGACCGAACACACTCGCAGCTTGGGAGCCGAAGGAACAGATGTTCCACAGCTTACGCTGAAACGGGTATGGCCGACAGTACCGCAGTTTTGCAACACTTGAACACATGAAACCGATCCAGCTGAGCAGGACGTTGATGGGCAGGAAATAGTACTCCAGCATGGGGAAGTAATGGTGGTGACAACTGCAGTAGAACGTGACAATCGCGAAACCGAGGCTGAAATATCCAATGCCCAAATAATCGAACTGGAAACATGTGTAGTGCATGAACGCTGACTTGGAGTGAAACGTATGAGCGAACGTGCTGATTGCAGTGTAGATGAGACAGCAGATTCCGAATGCGAATATCACAAACCAATGTGAACTGTCGGCACTAATGTGGATGGTCAAATACCGATATAGAGTGCAAAAAATCAAACCGAACCCGACCAAATGCGACCAAATATTGACGGATTCGTTGTGAACTTGGCACACACTGAACAGGTAGTGGGTCCATGACTTGTTTTCCGGTCGGAAACCCGTCAGCACACCCGGTTCTCGGAAAAGAAGGTGGGTGTCGTCTGCTGATATCGTTTGTTGAACCCGGAAACATCTCACAATCCAGTGCACCGCTCCTGGCAATATGCATGGACCCATATCGTCAGATCTGTTAATGAAAAAACGAATAATCTATATTGATTAAATAGTTATTTGGTTGATTCTCCTTCTCCACAGTATCAAACTATGAAATAGTGGAAGAAGTAATCAATATAAACTTCACCCATCACTAGTAACAATTGTCTAAGTCTAGAAATAAATGTAAGGGTTTCGCTTCAAAGAGTATTGATCAGTTATCTTCGCGTCTATTACAGGTAAACACCAATCGTCTCTGTAACTTTACGACACTAGAATATCCGAAGTATGTTACACGTTTACGGATACCACAGCTGGTCTACGTATCAAACCCGTCGATCGTTCTTCACCCATAACCGTGAGCTGGGTGTTCTTTTGGAGTTTCTATGTTAAGTATTTTTAACATGCACCGAAACAGTATCGACTATTTAGCGAGACAGTGTCTTTAAGTGGCGTCTGACTGGGAAGCTTTAAAACTATACTTCATAATTTCTTTAGCTGTATGTTATAAATAGGCGGAACACTGATGTAGAAATTAATTTGATATACTGACAAAGCGTTCATTGATACAAGGCACCCACAGCATACCCTGTTCATTGTGGTTCGAATAGTTTAGCTCTATTCCATTGGGCTGTCGGAAAATCTTTGAGAAATTCTAAAATGTTTTTCGGATAATCTGTGTTCTCGTATCGCCAATGATTTAATTTGAAAATCATTAATACACTTTGACAACTAATATTTTGTTTTTAAATTGTACATAAATGTGCGAAAAACATATGACTGACTATCTTCCATATTGCATTTGAAATCAGATATAATTTTTAACGAAACAATTTTAATGTATTTTTTTAAGTTGAAACTTGTCATATACAGCCACGCACTAAACCTAGCCATGCAATGAACTTCAGAATAGACGGGAGCTTTTTCTATCAAAACCACGGCACATCCATGAAGATCTAATGTAATATATTTTTTTTCTCCTGTGTGGAAATAGTATTGAATAGTCATACAAACGTAGTTCATTTAAATGTCCTCCGGACTTAATATATATGTATAGTGAACATTATAAATGCAATTTCAGCGGTATATAATTGTGTACAAATCGAACTAGCGCGTCGACACAGGATATATAAAAGGACTGTTCGGCTACGACACGCGATGTATATAAAAGTTGTGAAAATACAAATATTTCTACAGACAGATGACTGTGAACATACGCCGCATGCTTGTTGACTTTATTGTCACCATGGTAACATCTGTTCACAACTGTGAACGACATAAACTCGTCTAGTAACGTTTGTAAATATAACTATAACTGCACTTCTGTCAGAGGATGACTAAATTATGCACTCAGCAAAAGTATTTGTGTTGCAAATAATTGCAAATTTTGACTTCCAAAACAATGCATATAGCTTTATACCATCCTGTTATATATATACACATGCATATTATACTGACACCCATACATTTACCTACACATATATATATATATACTGAATTTATCAGAAATAATTTTTTAAGGTTCCTTGACGATTGTNATCCTACGTCGTCTTCCTAGACCGATTTGGACACATATATATATACCAATCAAATGGCATTTTTATGCTAACTTTTATGTCTTTGGTCCATTTAAATAAGCTACATTTGATCACTTCTTCTAAACAAGAGACGTGACTAGCTTTATATGACATATTTTAGAATAACCCCGGTTTTTCGTAGATTCGAGTTTATAAAACTTATTATTGTGGTTGAGTTATCAAAATGTATCTGACCCTAACGTTAATATTGTACAGAAAGTACCCCAGTAATTTAGATACACATACTGTAAATACATACGACGATCATAGGGACTTGAGAATTTGTTACAGCTATGTTTGGACCGAAACTAAGGTGTCCAGAGTAATTTTACACGTTTTAGGGGTTTAGGTCGATTTTCGGTAAAAAAAAAAAATGCCACTTCCAATGATGATATATGATAAAACGTGTAAAATTACTCTGAACACCTTAGTTTAGGTCAAAATGTAGCTGTAACAAATTCTCAAGTCCCTGTGCTTATGATCAGTGCAGTGAACGGGACCCGTTTATATTAACTGGAAATATGGGAAGACACGGTTCATTAACATCATGGAAAATTCTGACAATACATTATCTCAAGTATGATCGGGAATACAGGCGTCACGGTTGTATAACCACAACAGCCCTAGTTTCTCCAACAAGTCATGGCGCGTTATTTCATCGCCTACTCGATCGTTAATGACCTATACCAGTTCATAGCGCACGAACACATTTTCATGCTGTACATGACTGCATGTTAAGCCCTTGTTGTTGACAATAATTCTTACTTGATAACGTAATGCGGCGTTCTCAGTCGGGTACCAATTGTTCTACAGACACTTGTGTTGCAATGGTGTTGTGAAATGAAATTGATTATTTTTGTAAAGATTTAAGATATATTTTGTTAAGCATTTTTACCGAAAATCAATCTTAACAAATCTTATTTTTGTTTAGCACATTTTACACAAACGTCACACACACAACATATGTATATATGTAAAAATTATATAAAAAAATGTATATATACCAATACATATGTATACAAACAAATAAATGTGTACACACGTGTAACAGGATAACTATACTTCCACCGGCGGAAATCGAACCTGCGATTCCCACGCAGCTTCCCTGCTGCCCACCGCTTTACCAAGTCTATATAAACACATCTAAAAGTGACTCAAACGTTAATATTATCGCAAATGCAGGCACATCACCAGATACATATATCTGCCTATGTGATGCGGATAGCGACTGGGACTGTCCCACCTAGGAGGACTTACTAGAAATGACATTTACTTGTTAACGGTTCATCACTGTCGTCAATATTTCTAATTCTAACAATATGTAATATTAAGAACCACTCTGGGTTCTATCTATGAATGAATGACATCTGAAAAAAATCTGTACGCTTAATTATGTTTATCCATGTAAACAACCAGAAACCACCCTACCTGGCTGGTCTAGATCTGGTCAGTCCTCCTTCATTGCCCTTTCGCGAAAAGGTTGTATTTCTCCGAAACGGCCAATACGCGGTCGACCAGGCAGCCAATGCACGCCAGGATACAGATGTAGACACAGAGTGACAGAAAACCCTCCATGCTTGACAGTCTCTGCCACCCGATGAATGGGTGACATGCAGAGAGGAAATAGTGGCACACAATGTTTTGAAAGTTTACTGTACGGGTCAATTAGGGACAAAGCCGAGTACTGCCGAACGGTCACCTGGTTGTCAAGATAAACAACGCGGACTCGGGACGTTACGCTGAATGACTAATATCACGAAAGATTATACCGGGTATTTAAAAGAAGCAATCGACCAAACGCAATGCGCTGGGTCAAACTTCGTATAATGGTATCAATCGATTTTAAATGTATCTGTGCTGTCCTATAGATAATAATATACTCAGTATACATCGTATCCACACATAATCATGTACAAGGGTGTACTCATTTATTCTAATATACCGACAACCTTCAAGTTTGTTTAAACTGATCAATCTAAACGTGTAGGTAAAGAAACAAGTCTGGACGGCACTTCAAAACAAAATAAAAAGTACTGCAAGTGTTAATTAAGGATGGCCGTGGCAACATAGAAATGCAACCTTTCTATAACCACTGACAAGGGTAGACTTATATTGAACCAAGAACTGCTACAACCCGGGTCTGTAGAAAGTTAACCGGGAACAGGCATGCAGATGAGAGAAAACGTACAGCTCTCTGTGAAGCCGTCTCCTTTTACTTTCTATCCATCTATTTGTGTTGGACCCTCTTGGCTTCTGCTGGGCACATGTGTATTTTTGAATCTGGAAGATTTTAACTATATTGCACCACATATTATGTTATGTATCATTAATTTCTTGCAATTCTAGTGTAACTGGTTAATATGGCACTGTGTGTAGTGACGGTGACTTTGAAGTGTCCTAACCAAACAATAGATCTACCCTGTTACGATCTCTGATATTCCAATTAGACTGCTAATCTTTATGTACACACATATATATATGAATATATAAAACTGGATTATTGGTTCGGCCTACCCTACATTGTATATATCTATAAACTTAATATATTACATCTTCAATTTATATGCAGTATATGTTTGAAATGTATGTCATTTTATATGGTAAGGGCTGTTATAGGCAATGCCTATGCCCAATACTATTGTTAACTGCAACAACAAAATATTTTTTAAATGAAATGTGTATGTTGATGCCTATGCTGCCATATTGTATTAAGTAGTCAAGCATGCTGGTGCTTGTGAGAAAAACGACAACATTCTAAAATAAATATAATTGCTACAACTTTGAAATCATAACCGATAATAAGCCCGGGAAATAATTAGTTTACATTCGTATCATATCGAGAAAGAATCACATTTGTATATTATACACGTTACGGTAAATTACCTACCTTTGAATCTTAATCTATTATACGTCACAGAAAGAATCACATTTGTATACACACACGTTACGGTAAATTACCTACCTTTGAATCTGAATCTATTATACGTCACAGAAAGAATAAGATTTGTAGACAGATTACAGTTAATTGACTAATACCGTACGGCAGAGTAATGGTAAGATACTGTATGTATATCCTTCAATGGTTTACACTCACTGAATACAATCTCTTGCTCTACTTTTGCATGATCGGCCACACTCGTAGACATGTTCAATAGTTATGCAAACACACACGTATACAATATTACACAAGTACTTACTCGGTATGTTGTATCCTTCTTTCAATTTAAGAATGTTTGCACGAATTGAATAACGCCAATTTGTTGAGGCAGGTAACAACTATTCATATAAATTCAATGAACTTGCATATAAATAACGACACTGTATTAAAATGACAGAAACGTATTTTTGAGAATGCTTTACAAATTAGTTGGAAGGTGCATTTTAGAATTTACTCGATATTAAATGATAAGCGAGCTGTGAAAAGCGGTCGTGGTCTTGAGATGATAAACAGTTTTTTACACTATAAAAACAAAGGATGGTAATCTACACTTGTAAATGATTAAGCTTTTTTTGCTTTGTTTTATTTAGTTTTTCTTGATATCAAGGCTATTTTGAATAAAGCAAGACTTTTATTTGTCGATATCAAGAACGATACATTTCTTGGCATCAGAAAGTGGATATTTTGATATTTATGTCGATTTCTTTATATCAAATTTCTTGAAAAAATATGAATATATCTACAATCCAATTCCATGATATATATATATATATATATAAATCAGTAATAGATACCAAAAAAGCGCCCAATATGACCAGGAGAGGCTTATCGAAGAATTGCGAGATATCCGGGTCCTTAGAACGTTAACCTGGAACAGGCATGCAGATTAGAGAAAACGAACAGCTCTCTTTGAATTCGTCTCTTTTTACTTTCTATCCATCTATTCGTTTTGGACCCTCTTGGCTTCTGCTTGGCACATGTGTATGTTAATGTATATTCTGCTATATTGTATTAAGAAGTCAGGCATGCTTGTGCGTGTGAGAAAATCGACAAAATTATAAAATACAAATAATTGCTTCTTGTAACTATCAAATCATAACCGATAATGCGCACTGGGAATAATTAATTTACATTCGTATTATATCGAGAAAGAATCACATTTGTATTAATACCCAATCACTTAGAAACCTGGGATATGATCATTTCTTTTTCTGTGATAATTATTACTGCTTTTTATTAATATATGTTATTATCTCCCTTTAATTGAAATATAATATGTTATTGTTATTGGGTGCTGTGTAAAGCAATCAAATCAAAACGAAACAACAGACTTTCTTCTTCCGCGGAAGATCTTTAAATGCTGTGTTGATTATTTCATGGTATAATTAATGCTATAAAATGATGAAATACATATGTCTTTTCAGTGAGCATCATGAACTATATTAATCTCAGATTACTAAGCTTTTTGGATCGAATAATTTCTTCACAAACAACCCAAACAACACTTTATTTCCTTCCGCGAAAGATCTTTAGATAGTGTGTTAATTATTTCATGATATGATCAATGCTATAATATAGTACAGTATATCTGTATAAGACAAAGAAATCAAAGAAAATATGTAAAGATCTTTAACAGTGGCGTTTTTAATCAATGAAAGTTCCGAACTATATTTGGTTCAAATTACTACCCCTAGTATTCCGATACTCTTGTGTGCGTAAGAGTTTTCTATCATTGCGTAGACTTAAAGCTTGTTGAACGACTGTCCTTGATAAAGTATGCTTCGTGTTTTTTTTTGTCTCAATGGAAAGTCTCCAAGTGAAAGAGAATGTTGACTTATACTAAAGTAGCCGTCAGCAGCTGTGCCTAACGAGTTTATAGATAGCTTCCCAATGCGACAGCAGCTGTGCCTAACGAGTTTGTAGATAGCTTCCCATACAGTCTCTAGATAATGGCCCGATTAGTATAATACAAGTGCTTCGTGAATATAGCATATTGAACATCAAAAATTAAAACCGTATACAGATATTATTCACATTAACCAGAAACTGAATAATGATATACGTCTTTAACCTTCGTCACAAGGGACTTGCATAAGTCCGGGATTACACGCACTGGAAATAATACAATCTCGTTTTAATTTTTTGTATAATTAATCATGATAATAACATATTGAAATAATAATCTCATAATTATTTATTTATATTATATATATAACATTTTTTTTAAATTATTTAATCGTAAATTTACTTTCCCATAATCTTACGGGACAATTTTGGTTTGCAGGGTTTTCTTGTCAAGGTCACTGTTACTATTTAAAAAAACCACATTGTCTGCGCTGTAGCAGCTTCATTCCTTGAAGGATATCCATCGATTTGAAACACAAATTAAGGACCATAATATCAGACAAGTTTCAATTGTTTTAGCAATACTCTGCTTGTTATATATATATATTATTGAAAATTAGGATTAAGGGATGGACTATTATGACCCTTACTCAACAACATGTTCTTTATTATTTACTGCCATTCTGTACTGATATACCACCTCCTTTATTCCATTATTTGAATCCTTCATACACAGCATCCCTGAGTGCCCTCGGCACTTTGATTTTACATATGTTTGTCGCAATAATACCTCTCAAGAGCTAATGTTTACCTGTATGCGATGTTATATAAAGTTTCTTGTATCTTGTATACACGTCACGGTATTTTACCTACCTTTAAATCTTAATCTATTATACGCCACAGAAAGATTAACATTTGTAGAGAGAATCTTTTCTAGATTTAATTCCCACTGATGTTCTCTGTCTCTTTGGGAGTGTTAATAAGCACGCTGGTGTTCTGTACCTTTCCCTACATGTGTGTAAACAGATTTTTCACCGTTCACATACAAAGTTTGCCAGTTGATGTACTGCGCCTTCCCTGGTGAAGATTGTATGCAGTAGTTTGTATCGCCTCTCCAGTTATGTTTGCCAGCTGATGTCCCGCGCCTTCCCTGGTGAAGATTGTATGCAGTTGTTTGTTTCGCCCCTCCAGTTATGTTTGCCCACTATTGTTACCTCTGTGCCATAGTGAGGCTTGTTTACTGTTGTTTGTTCCACACCTTACGTTATGTTTGCTCACTGTTGTCCCACCCTTCCCTGGCGAGGTTTGTATATTGTTATTTGTTTCTGTTTTTCACCCTCTACCCTGATGACGTTTGTATACGCTCCGTTGTGTTTTCCCACTGTTGTTACATCTGTGCCATAGTGAGGTTTGTGTACCGTTGTTTGTTCCACACCTCCCCGTTGTGTTGCCCACTGTTGTTACATCTGTGCCATAGTGACGTGTGTATACCGTTGTTTGTTCCACACCTTACGTTGTGTTTGACCACTGTTGTTACATCTGTGTCATAGTGAGGTTTGTTTACTGTTGTTTGTTCCACACCACCCCGTTGTGTTGCCTACTGTTGTTACCTCTATGCCATAGTGAGGTTTGTTTACTGTTGTTTGTTCCACACCTTACGTTGTCTTTGCCCACTGTTGTTACATATGTGCCATAGTGAAGTTTGTATACCGTTGTTGTTCCACACCTCCCCGTTGTGTTTCCCACTGTTGTTACATCTGTGCCATAGTGAAGTTTGTATACCGTTGTTGTTCCACACCTCCCGTTGTGTTTGCCCACTGTTGTTACATCTGTGCCATAGTGATGTTTGTGTACCGTTGTTTGTTCCACACCTCCCTGTTGTTTTGCTCCTCCCCCCTTTCCTGGTGACGTGTGGTATGACGTTGTTTGTTCCACCACTTCCGTTGTGTTTGCCCACTGTGGATTCAACTCTGCCATGGCGACGTTTGTATACCAGTGTTAGTCTATCCCTTCGCGTTGTGGTTGCCCTCTGTTGTTCTACCTCTGCCATAGTTACAATTGCTTTGATATTCTGGTGACATTTGACCACTGATGTCTCGCCCCTTCCCTGGTGACGTTTCTATACCGTTGTTTGTCCCCCTCTGTTGTGTTTGCCCACTGTTCCCCCCCCCCGTCCTGTTGACGTTTGTATACTGCTTTGTGTTCCACCCCTCCCGTTGTCTTTGTCCACTGTTGTTTCATATCTGCCATAGTGACGTTTGTCTTCTGATATTTTGGTGTTCTGTTGACATTTGGCCACTGATGTCTTGCCCCTTCCCCGGTGACGTTTGTCAACTGTTCTTTGCACCACCACCTTCCTATGTTGTTTGCCCACTAACATTGGGAGAACATGACAACAGACACTTTTACAGGGTTACGTTTAGTTTTATTACATATATGTACAGATAATGTGGTGAGATTCGAAAGCCAACTAACAATGAAGCGTTTAAAAATGACAAAAAAATATAAAACGTTTTTGGCGGAAAGTTTCAAGGCTCACGGCAAAATACTCAATACATATATAAAATCGAAATGTTTATGACTTCCATCCAGTCGTTTTATGACACTGCTTTGGAGTAATTGGGGCAGGAGTGTACACTTTTTGTTTTTGCCTGGAGTGAAACCTACCACTTTACCAATACACTTTGTACATAATAGATAGGTCGGAGGAAATGTTAAGTTAAAACATTGCATACGATGGAAAAACAATACATTGTAATAATCATAACATGACAAACAGCAATCTCTACCCAGTGTTGTCGTTCCCAATACCCACCTACACAGGAACGACAACCCTTTGGTAGATGATTGGGTAAACACACCTTCATTGGCAGGCAAGATAATTATTGCGAAAGTAACACATGTATGATGCTAATAATGCCAGCTAATGATCACGTGCTCATTTGACGGTGAAGTTAATATAGTTCACTCGCCAAACGTTTGCTGTAGACACCTCGTGACTGAGCTACCTATAGTCAATGGAAGTGTCCCTCGTGACTGAGCTACCTATAGTCAATGGAAGTGTCCCTCGTGACTGAGCTACCTATAGTCAATGGAAGTGTCCCTCGTGTCTGAGCTACCTATAGTCAATGGAAATGTCCCTCGTGACTGAGCTACCTATAATCAATGGAAGTGTTCCTCGTTACTGAGCTACCTATAGTCAGTGGAAGTGTCCCTCGTGACTAAGCTACCTATAGTCAATGGGAGGGTCCCTCGTGTCTGAGCTACCTATAGTCAAAGGAAATGTCCCTCGTGACTGAGCTAGCTATAATCAATGGAAGTGTTCCTCGTGACTGAGCTCCCTATAGTCAATGGAAATGACCCATCGTGACTGAGCTACCTATTGTCAATGGGGGTGTCCCTCGTGACTGAGCCACCTATAGTCAATGGAAGTGACCCTCGTGACTGAGCTAGCTATAATCAATGGAAGTGTACCTCGTGACTGAGCTACCTATAGTCAATGGAAGTGTCCCTCGTGGCTGAGCTACCTATTGTCAATGGAAGTGTCCCTCGTGACTGAGCTACCTATAGTCAATGGAAGTGTCTCTCGTGACTGAGCTACTTATAGTCAATGGAAGTGTCTCTCGTGACTGAGCTACCTATAGTCAATGGAAGTGTCCCTCGTGACTGAGCTAGCTATAGTCAATGGAAGTGTCCTGGCACAACTGTGCTACAGTAACAAACACAAAAAAACGAAAATAAAAGGGAGATAACTGTATATACAAACAACCAAAGTGCAATGGGACAGGGGCCTTAAGCTAGTATATGTATGCATACCAGTTTTGTCATGTTTCTGAATTCACAGAGAAGACATTTCAGTTTATACATCAACACATACATATATGTTAGCGTCAATACATTCACGCAGAGCAAATATAATTTCACTAAAGAAAAAACCGTCATGTTCCGCAATGTCTTCCGACATGGAAATCAGCATTTCTAATACCAGCTTCACACATGTATAAGTATATTTATATGTAAGTAAGGGTTTATTGGGCAGCATATGTATAGATAGCTATGCAGAGAAACACGTATCATGACTAATAAGGACAGTAAATTCAAAACATCTAAAGATTGATTATTCATTATAAACTGTCTTCCAGCCAACCAAAGGAGTATATGCGTGAATATCAGCAAATATTTCAGTAGTACTGTATGGTTGCTGTTCTTTGTCTTGTATTTTCTTGTTATGTTCTGGTTTGTGTGTGACGAAGAGGGCGTATTTCCTCGACAATATGATATTTTTCTTTTTCTTTCTGCACTGTCGTTATTACTCCTCTGCTTATTCGTCAGTCCGCTAAAACTGACCAGACCATGATCCCTGACTAGGTTGCCTGTTTACACGGGGACATGTCGCTGAAATCTGGCGACAGCAATTATCATATATTTTATGATAGTATGCTGAAAAATCAAAAATCATCTAATATTTTTGTGACAATAAATTCGTTTCTCTCTCACTCGTTTACATGCAATGTCCAAACTAAGCACCTTGTTGACGCTGCGTCGATTAATTCGAACACAATGATGTCTACCACTCGTATCGACAGCCATTTTATCGACAACAATAGAATACACCAGCCAATCAAAATTACTTCACAATCTTAATCCCCAACTGAGGCCTGTTCGTTTATGCGGAACAACCGGTCCGTCTGCTTTTAAATGTAACATTTTCTGGTATAAATCCTGACAGACCTGCAAAAGTGCATGCATGTCTTGTAAGGCTTTGTCAAGGCTCGCCTATAAGCAGCATATGATTACTAGGTCCGACCTTATTTCATAAACGAACAAGTCTGGTCGAACCGGTTCAACCGTTTGGATAGCGGTAAACGTAAGCAGCCCATGCCAGCTGGTGTCTGCTGCATAACCGAACTACTCGGTAGTGAAGCGGACGTAAAACCAATCAGCCAATCAGAATATTAGAGACTTTAATTGTGGCCAATTTTAGCGGACTTCATATATGTATATATATATATATATAATACATTAACAGGATAAACACTTGATAGAGTTAACTAGAGAGAAAAAACTGACAACATTAATCAAACATGATTATTAGAACAGACGTTACATAATCACAAGCTGAACGTGGTTATTGGAACTAACATTACATAATTACAAGCTTTGTGGTGAAAACATGATTTTTAGAATTGGCTTTAATATAATTACAAGCAGAATCCTATATTGGACAATACACATTATTATCGGAATTGACGTTATCATATATTACAGGTAAACAGTTTATGGGAACTGTAAACATAATTAAGGGAAATGACATGATGATATTATAGGTACAACCACGGACTTAGGTAACACGGACTTATCTAATTCCGTAGTACAACACTCAACGGTGACAACAAACATGATTATCGGAAATGACATTATGATATTACAGGTGCAACACTTAACGGTGACAACACACGATTATCGGAAATGACATTATGATACTACAGGTGCAACACTTAACGGTGACAATAAACATGATTATCGGAAATGACATTATGATATTACAGGTGCAACACTTCACGGTGACAACAAACATGATTATCGGAAATGACAATATGATACTACAGGTGCAACACTTAACGGTGACAACACACGATTATCGGAAATGACATTATGGTATTACAGGTATAACACTTAACGGTGACAACAAACATGATTATCGGAAATGACATTATGATATTACAGGTGCAACACTTAACGGTGACAACAAACATGATTATCGGAAATGACATTATGATATTACAAGCAGAACTATTATTTGGAACAATAGACACGATAAATGACCACATATGGCATTGACATTTAAGGCAAATCATCAAATATCAAACGAAGTTAGTAAGTCCGTTCTGAAGCGAATAATCTCACGAACACATAAACGTCGATTTGATGTAACTACATGTCCAGCCTGCAGTGGATAAATCTGGACGTAATTCATTTTAGATGTCTTGGTATGGAAATATCAAACAATGGACTCGAATAAAAAGCGAAACTTTTCATTCTACCTCGGTAGTTACCGTTTAGTCTGCCACCATTATTCGCTTCGAGTTTTTAAGGAGCAAATTGAATATAATACATAAAAAGTATTTTTTCATCGATAAAATTTGCACAGAAAAATAAAAGGAAAGTATGGTATTTCTGATGTCACATTCCACGCGTTAATATAGCAACTCATATTTCAACAGGTTAAAATTCTGCTGATTTATATTATGTGTAGACTACGTGCTGAATTTTCGATGTTACGAACTTGGTAATCCCAGTGTTACTTATTTGTGTATTTAATGAAGTGGAAGTGATACACTTTTAGAGTTACTAATTTGTGTTGTGTAAGTGAATGCCTGGCATTGTTACTTATTTGTCAGTTGTGTGCTGTGTAAGTGAATGAACTTAAAATGTTACTAATTTTCTGTTGTGTGCTGTGTAAGTGAAAGTGTTGGCGATGTTACTAATTTGTCTTATGTATGTTCTGTACGCGATGAACTTTAAATGTTACTATTTTTTGTGTGTGATGTGTACTGTGTAAGTGATTATATAGCGATGTTACTAGTTTGTCTGTTGTGTGTTGTGTACTGTGTAAGTGATTAAATAGCAATGTTACTAGTTTGTCTGTTGTGTGATGTGTACTGTGTAAGTGATTAAATTGCAATGTTACTAGTTTGTCTGTTGTGTACTGTGTAAGTGATTACATAGCAATTTTACAGTTTGTCTGTTGTGTGTTGTGTACTGTGTAAGTGATTAAATAGCAATGTTACTTGTTTGTCTGTTGTGTGATGTGTACTGTGTAAGTGATTAAATTGCAATGTTACTAGTTTGTCTGTTGTGTACTGTGTAAGTGATTACATAGCAATTTTACAGTTTGTCTGTTGTGTGTTGTGTACTGTGTAAGTGATTAAATAGCAATGTTACTTGTTTGTCTGTTGTGTGATGTGTACTGTGTAAGTGATTAAATTGCAATGTTACTAGTTTGTCTGTTGTGTACTGTGTAAGTGATTACATAGCAATGTTACTAGTTTGTCTGTTGTATGTTGTGTACTGTGTAAGTGATTACATAGCAATGTTACAGTTTGTCTGTTATGTGATGTGTACTGTGTAAGTGATTTAATAGCAATGCTACTAGTTTGTCTGTTGTGTGTTGTGTACTGGTAAGTGATTAACTAGCAATGTTACTTGTTTGTCTGTTATGTGATGTGTACTGTGTAAGTGATTACATAGCAATGTTACTAGTTTATCTGTTGTGTGATGTGTACTTTGTAAGTGATTACATAGCAATGTTACTAGTTTGTCTGTTGTGTGATGTGTACTTTGTAAGTACTTAAATAGCAATGTTACTAGTTTATCTGTTGTGTGATGTGTACTTTGTAAGTGATTACATAGCAATGTTACTAGTTTGTCTGTTGTGTGATGTGAACTTTGTAAGTGATTAAATAGCAATGTTACTTGTTTGTCTGTTGTGTGTTGTGTACTTTGTAAGTGATTTAATAGGAATGTTACTAGTTTGTCTGTTGTGTGTTGTGTACTGTGTAAGTGATTAAATAGCAATGTAACTAGTTTGTCTGTTGTGTGGTGTGTACTTTGTAAGTGATTAAATAGCATTGTTACTTGTTTGTTTGTTGTGTGATGTTTACTTTGTAAGTGATTACATAGATATGTTACTATGTTGTGTAATGTATTATGATATATATACTAGTATTTAATAAGCTGCCAGTACCTAGCTTTTCTTACATTTTTCAAAATATTTTGGCTATCCTCTATATTTTCAGAGAAGGTTCACTGGTACCAATATGCAGAGACTTCACCGATTTAAATAGGACAAGTATCCAAATGACACGACTTTAAAAGTTCTTTTGAAAGTTGATTTTCAACATGTTTCTTTATACGAAATATCAATTCCATGCTTCGAATGAAATATAGTGTTCAAGGAACTTCTACACGACGTTTAGGAACAGTTGCGTTCACCGGCGGTTTGTCTGAAAATTGGCTAGTAGTTGAGAAGGACCGTTGTCAGACCCAGTAGGAGATACACACAAGCGTAGACGTTCAGACCAGTGGCGCCATCCCCAACGTCAGGCGGGTCCTCGCGGATGCCTCCACAGTCGGAGCGCAGTGTGGCGAGTAACATGTCCCGGCTAGTGCCTAACATAGACTGGACATTCGTGTCGTTGCATTTGTTCTCTATGACATCCAGTATGCAGCCCACAAACGTTTTGATGGGGCTACAACAGACATGTTGTAAGATAAATCAGGTGAACATAAAATGACGAATGTTCAACAATCAAAGTTTGATATATTATTCCTTAAATGAACGTTGATGATGACTTTCACATAGTTATTTAAGGACTTAATCCTGCTGTGTTGAGGTTAATGGCATTACTCACTTTGTGACGTCATCATGAAAAGATCAATAGCTGTTTTGTATTAAAATAAATAACAACGTTAAACAGTATTACACATAAAGATATGTTCATTTCAATCTAAATCGATTGAAAATAAACTCAACTGAATACAATTTACAAATGTGATTGTTTCCCGCACTAATTTGCTGACGTATTCATGCGCTATATGGTAAGTTCATGGAAAAAAATTCTCCTACACTTAAGCAGGTATATTGGGAGCAAATTCAATAAAAATGAAAATATACCTAGATTAACTCATTTTACCGATATTCCCAATAAAAGGGCAACAGTTATTGAAACTAAACCTCTCTTTTCTCTCAACTCATGACATTATCTACCTGCAGAATGAAGCTCTCATAGTGGCCCCGTCCATAGCCAATAGCTCTGTGGTGTTATCAAAGGTGGCGAATTTTGCTTGAAGCGTTGGAGTCATACACATCTCGACGGCGGCTGTATTATTTGGAATCATCATACAGGTAATCACACTGTGTAAACCTGGTAAATATAGCAAGGTACCTGATGTATTAGTATACACCACGTCAGGTAAACCCTGTAAAGTATGTACTTGTTCATAAAGCTACAATAAAATGTACATCATTTATATCTATCAATTATGAACTGTGTTTTTAGGGTTAGTCGCGAGAACAACTTTGGGAACTCTATATAACCGGATTATACATTCTGTTATCACGCCATTGAAAGATATTTGATTAATGACACTGTAAAGACATCAACAGTCGTATGAAACAAAATCGTTTGCGATTTATGAAAATTTATATAACATGGCTAGAATGTAATGATATCTTGGTAGACGAATTGTGGATAGATCATCAGATAAGCTGTGTATGGGGTCTAATGGTGTCTAATGGTGCCCAATGGACACAAACAGTCACGGTGTCTGAAGGCACCGGGATTGTCTTGATGCCAAAGGGTTCAGATACAACAGGCTAGGTGCTCTAGGAAACCCCTCCCTCTATCCCCCATTCCATAGATCCACCAGATTAGTACACATACAAATAGGTTAGAGAAAAATAGCAGAACGATGAAAGTAGGAGAGGGCGAATTCAAAATACCTGCTGCTGCGTTCGAAGAACAGAAACCATCGGAGAAAGCCTGCTCATTTGTTTTAACATTTTCCATGTCGATGATGTTGTGAAGGAATTTGTCCAACAAATTTCCTGACAAAGGCATATACCGTCCAGCGCAGTACAACATATCCGAGAGGCGACTGAAAAATGTAGTCTTGTATGTCATATATTTGCAAAAACACTTATAAATATTATAGCAAAAATACAATAATTGTACAAATACCTGATCAAGTGACGGAATGCTAAAATGATTCTGGAATGTTTAATTTATCTTTGCCTCATAAACCCAGTATTCTTAAATCAGATAGATCGTGGCCAGCACTCAGCTCAGTAACTTTGAACGACGTTTTCGGCTACATGTTACTTTACGACACGGATAAGTCTTATTCATCAACGTGATAATGGTTTATTATGACTGGTAGCATACTGTGTAATGGGAAATTTCTTACTTGAACATTTATGGCATTCACTAATATAATCCGTATCCGCTCTGCGTTAATTTCTCTCCTCAAATGTAGTGAAAGTTTGTATAGCATGATGTAGGGCGAAAGGGGCTAGGGTTAGTGGGACGAACATTTCCAGGTTAATATTATTGATCTGGAGAAGTATTCTCTTGATTTAGCTACGACTTGGAGTAATGCAACACAAAGAAATATTGTGATGTGAATGTGGTCATAAAAGGAAATAACTCTGGGAAGACATACCTACACACTTCTGGAACAATGGACAGTATCAATGAAACAATCTGCTGTTGTGGTGTCGTGGTAGTTCCTGTGCCTCCCAACTGCATCCCAATCTCGCTAATGAGCGGCATGGCACAGGCCATCACAGAACTCTGCAAAATGTTTGTCGGTTCACCTGTACCAACCCTCTCTTTACAGGAAGACGTCATCAAGCCACTAGTCATGCTAGACACGGCTCCATTGATATTTGAGCCACATCCGGATGTCTGAATTGCGATGCAATTTGCTGTCAGTCCCAAGCTTCTGCAAGAACATGAAATGGACATGAAAACACTAGTATATTGGAGGACTCTGCGTTCACGCTCAGCTGAGACACTTAGAGACAACTATAATTAAGAAATAGAAGAACGAAATCGGCTATTCAGCAATATCTTCACCCAAATACAGCTCCGAATTACAGACCTTGCAAAAGGAATTCCCCCAATCACTTATTCTTAAAAACTCAGTTTTAACAATAATAAATAACTCAATTTCTACCAGAAAAAAATTAGCTCAATTTTCACACAATCCCACATGAAACAATCTCAAAATCAAACAATTTTGTAGAATGGAATGTTCGAATTAACTTCCCCGAGTTGTATAGAATACAATAGACTGCATGTTAACACTGTTGTAATAAATAGCAATTAATTTCCATCAACAATATAAGACAAATTTGATTTAAAAGTAACCGACTGCTCCATAAAGGTACGTTAGGTCGACATGACAGCTGCTAGACATTTGTTTTAAGTATTAGGATTAGCTGAGAGGGGAACAGCGTATACAAGAGCCTCAATGAGAGCGACAAATGTGGTGACGTACTGATGTGTTATGTACGATGACACTTACGGACACACTGCGGTTTGAACCAGCTCAGTTGTAAGATTAGGTCTAAAGAAAATAGGTGCGAATGCTCCAGAAATATTATGTATCCCAACGCAAAACACCGAACCAAGTATCATGTCGTTCAAACAGGTTGGGACTTCGTTCTTGAGATCTATAAAAAAAGACATCCATACATCTATAAAAGAGTTCATACGTTGCAATAGTTACAATCAACATACCCTACGGTACAATGGCAATTAGAACTGTAAGCCGCATGCATACTTAGATCCCTCGTTCAACCATCGATGATTTTATTTGCTCATCCAATCAATCAGTCTTGAAAAATATTACAACCTGCCTGCCTTTTAATATAAAATATATCATATATGTATCATCCTCAAGCCGAAACAACAATGTCAGACCTATAATACTTAAGTGTACCGATATGTGCTCAGCTAATCAGAGGGCATATGCGCCATCTTGAAACTCTAAAATGAAAAGTCGGCCTTTATCATACCTTGTATCTCAAATGCATCACTGGTATTTACTACTTACCCCTTTCGCAAAAAAACTTATAGAGGATAATTAATGGTGTCTTCAGTAATAACAAATATATTTCACGAGCGGGCTCGTGAATAACATCAAAATATTAGCCACACTCGTGAAATATATTTCTTATTACTGAAGACACCATTTCATTTTCGATTTATTACATTTTAAAAACATAACATGAAACGTGTAGTGCATTAAAAGAGGGCGGGAATCAGACGCGTTGTAATTAGCACCTTATTATAATGACGTCACGCTTGACAACAAGGCTGCGCGCCATTTTGAATTGGATACCCAACGCAATTCCGACGTTTTCTGCTATTTTCTGGTATGAAGGCTTACAAAAATGTTATTTTAAGTGTGTGTAACATTTACAATAACAACCACTTATTCTACCGTCGCTTCATTTGAATCTGAGCAACAAATCGTTGCCTTTGAATGCAGCAAATAGATGATACCGTTATGATTGGTCAATACCAAATCATTATATTTTCACACTGTGAAAATATAGCTTTTGATATTTGTCACCATGTGAAAAATATCAGTTTTATCAAGTTGATAGAATCCGATATTTCAGTGGCAACAAATGTAATAAAGTAATGTAGTACCCTATAGACCAGTTTTAGTATAGTACCACAAAGCCTAATTTAACCAAGTACCCTAAAAGTCAATTATAACATAGTACCCTATAGCCCAACGGTCACATAGCACCATTTATTACATTTTGCCAGTGAATTATCGGATTTTATCAACTTGATAAAACTGATATCTTTCACAAGATGAAACATATCAAAAGTAACATCCCTACTTTGTAAAACTCACCTTGCGTTATGGTACAGAATGTGCTCCTTAGGACTTGTGCCATAGATGTCGTGTTTATAATCGACTTTATAATGTGATCTACGACCTTATTGGAGGTTGGCATATATTCATCAAGGCAGGTCTGGAAATCAGTCAAATTCCTTTCAAACAGAAAATTTGTTGTACAAAATTAACATTTTTTAGGACGCAATTTATGTACATTTCAATGCAGAGTTTATTATCTGCCGTTATGTATGAGTCGAATGTAGTGGTCCGGTTAAAATATTACACATTTAAAACGCTGCTTGCCGTACATTTTGGCGTAGCACTTAAAAAAATGGGAATTGAATAATATATATTGGTTTTTGAAATTGTAGTTCGAGGATAATAAAAACAACAACGCGGCATGAAACACGGAAAAACACACCAAACGTGACCATCGAAACTACGAGTGGAACATATTGTGGCAAAACTCATCATAAATGTGTTACGTAAAAGTTATTATAACAAATCTAGTAACTACATTATATTTTTCAATACGAAATAATTATATGAAAACGTCATAAACATGATAAAAGTCAAATGTATGTTATATTTCAACAAGATTGTAAAGGAAATATAGTCATCTGCGCAGTATTTCTTGTTCAAACGTATTAGTGGCGTTATGGCTTAAAACATATTTAATGAAACCGATAGCAGAAAGGAAATAGCCAAAATTCGATTGTCGTCTCATAGGCTTCACTAAATATCGATTTGATAACACAAAAAGAAATCATAATAAATGGATATCATACAAATGGCAGGGAAATGAAGGATACATATCGTTCTATTGTAAACTACCAATGACATAATGATCTAAAAAAATCAGTCTTTTAAGAAATAGTACACAAAAATGCAAATGCTTAAAAAAATCCAAAAATCAATGTTGACCCAAAATTTTATAGAACGATATAAAATCTCTTATATACAATGTAGTATATTAGATATCCTATAAAATACATTCGATATCTTACGTAGTATAAGATATATCTTATATAACATACGAGATCTCTTAAATACTATACACGAAATCTTATATGAAAATCAAATGATTGAGATGTTATATAAAAATCACATATGCTGAATAAGATATATAATTTTCTTTATACTATATATTCTATAATATACAAGTAACCTCATAATCTGTTTAAAATATCTTATTTATTGTTGAATCTAGTCACTATATAAGTTATCTCTCTACATTGTACAATATGTTACTGTACTAATGAACCGAAATGTTTAATGTAATAAAGGGCTGAACTGAATAACACGCTCCCTTTGAGATCCGTTTAAGAACTCACCTGCAAACTCCTCTGCTAACAATATCTGTTAAGTTTTTCTCGTACATCTGGATCGGCGCAATGATGTCGGTAAAACTCACAAGTCCGGTGAAGTTAATCTTTGTGACCACATCGTACGCTTCACTTATTGAGCTCTTAAACGAAACGCATGCGCACGAAACGAAGAAGGAATCAACAGGTCTGCGAAATTAAAAAAGTATAATCATGTGTTAGAAGCAAGTTACAACAGTTTATAAGTAGATAAGACAATTAAAGTAAGACTTAAAAGAATGGTTAAGTTTGAAATGGATTCGTGATGAACTGTTTAACAGTTGCCCAATCATCAAAATGGCGACAAAATTGTTTCATAATTATAAGTCAATTTTGCGAAGGTTATAACACGACTTGATATATATTATTTAAAACAACCAGTCTTATTACATAATTTATCTGCATGCATGCTAGCGTATAAGGTATATTTTGAAAAAAAACCTTTGCTTTTACTGCATTAAACTGTACAAATACAGCTCTTTAGAAATGTAATGCTTCCATAGAGGGTTTGGCTACACAAACTGTCAGATAAACAGAAAGTTTCCTGTCGTCTTACGAGCATTACAAATGATTTAAATGTTACCAGCACTACCTCAAAATACTGTCGTTCACAACAAAGACGTCAGAGAGAGAGAAGGCAAAGAGAGTAGCATTTTTTTTTTGTCATCGGCAGCTTTCGAATGGTAATTGACGAAAAATTTAAGTATGGCACAAACTGCCTTCGTTGACACAAAATTTGTTTAAAATGTGAAGATTATCAAACTATAATTTGTGGACGACCACCCCATGCCAGCCCAAGAACTGCTTTTGTTTCACTACTTCTGGCGTCTGTCTGATTCACGTGTCTGTCCTCAGTTGTTAACAGTTTTAGGTTCTTTCATTCGAAGGTAACGATTCGCTCACAGTAAAGGGAATGATTGGAAATGCAGTCGCAATGTGCTGCTCAAAATCTCATGTCGGATCCTCCTTATACATAAATCTTTAGGCAAATAACAAATCTAATATTGTGCCAGGAAGTGGAATATCCCACCAAGAATCACTGACGTCATATATCGAATGTTATATAATTGAGTGCGAGTGTGGTATGTGAGAATTTGTATGACCCTGGAGCCTGGATTAATTGATGGGCTTATGGTTTACATCCATGTTCTGTTTATTCCGAGCTTAGAACAAGACTGCTTTATGCTATTTTATGTACTTACATACACATGGCGGTGCTGAAGCCATGTTGCCCATGACTGTCGGCCGCTGTCTGCAGGACAGAAAGGCATACAAGGAGACAGGCAAGAATCACGTGGGCTCTGCTCGCTGTCATCATTGGTTGAGTCAGTATCAGGAAAAGGTTATTCTGAAACAATCACAGAATCTCAATAGACATAGGGATGTACCAAACTCGTTTAATTTAATAAACACGATATTGTTAGTAGGTACAGTGAAAGTATAATTTAATGAATTTGATATCTATTCAACCCCATCGCGGAGAAAGTAGTAGAGAGGAGTAGAAAGGACTATCTATCTTAACCTATCTCAGATAAAAATCTGTTTTATATTAATATACTATATATCAAGTCGACGTAATCTGACAACATATGCCTACATCTTTAAGTAATCATGTCGACGTATGTAGGTCGACGGTAGAAATATGACACCGTGCACACCTTTTACAGATTTTGATTATTTATGAGTTCAGGGAAGGAAGGATGACCACTCAAAACATAAACAGCCTTGTGTGTAGAGTAGGGGAAACAAGCTCGAGCTACCTGCATGGGACCAAGATACCACATATATGTGGTAACTGTAGACTCGGGGATCTTTAACAATGGAGAGAAAAAAAAAAGAAACAAAAATGACTGTTTAGAGATCAATATTATTTGGGCCGACGCTTACCCCGGAATCAAGAGTAAATACGGATGGAATCTTATTTCATTTTAATCTGGTTTGAAAATTATATTTCTGAATATAACCCGAGGAGTGTAATGTAAAAAATATATTCCAGTGAATAAATTCGTATTTTGTACATGATATGATATAAAAAAAAAAAATGATGCGCTGATAAATTCGGGTTTAGGGATCCACTTGTGGCAGACATCAAAACCAGGTTTTAAGGAATCCTACAGTAAAAAGTCCTATTGTAATAACTGTGTTATGCTGGTACACCTAAGCGTATTTCAGGTGCTTCATAGTGCAGTTCAACCATTATTTTTTAAACATTTCAGATTGTTTAGTCTACCTTGAAGTAATATTACAGTCACCATAATGATTTCCAAATGTAGTGGATGCAATTTGTATCACGATAAAGGTTAAGGGCACAACCGCGTTGTTAACCGCAAATAAGAGTTCCAATAAGAGATTTGGTCTTTGACCTGGAATGTTCTGCCTTCAACAATGCATAAAGCAGATGAAACAACAAAATGGGACTTTTTTCTGGCTAAGAATAAGTAATTTCCCCAGTCAGTTTTTTTTAAGTCTTTGCGATCCACCAATAGTACACTCATTTTGAAGTTCTACTTTCAGAATTTCTGCGGGCAACATTGGTAAGGTGTAGGCTTTCAATATAAAGGTCTCGAGTTTGATCCCTGCGTTTCTCCACCTTCTATTTTTATTTCTATTTCAGACATTCAAAGGAGTGTTGCCAATATGGACAAATAAGTTTTATTTTTGCATTAATATATATGAGATAATGTCATCTTGATATCACATATCATTAAGGTAAGCTTGGAGACCATTCCCAGATATGGGAAGGTAAAGTTGGGGAACAAAATTCAAAATGACTTCTTTTTGGATTTTTTTTTATATTTTTGGTACCTTTCTTCAAACTTTTGATCTTTTGTGTAATACTTAAGCTGCATGGAATAAAGATGACCTTAAAAGGTAGCACATAGTAGATAGATAAGTAGGTCACGCTGACCTTTGTTTTATATATATTTGTTGCATAAGGATTTCTGTCCCCCACTTTTCGTCTTCTATTTCGGAATGGTCTTCACGCTTATCCTAACTTCATGATAGCATCACTCTAAGGTATAGTTATGCATACATAAAACTAATCGGTTTTAGCCACCAAAAAGCCCAAATTGGCACCCTTGCTTTCTAACAGCTATAGTTCTGTAAATGCATCGCAATATCTGATTTTTATGTCACAGTAGTGACAGTGGTGGTGGTGGTGGTGGTGGTGGTGGTATAGCTTGTACATCTCGATCTTACACACTGATAGGGTTCATGATATATATTTTGTGTCAATCGGTTTACCATGCTTCAATTCTGTCTTTCTTTGAAGATGTTGATGTTTATGTGCTTTTAATTAATATTTCAGTTTATAATTCCAGTATATATGAATATATAGTCGATATCCTTTAACTAGTGGTTGATAACCCAATATCGCTCAGTTACAGGTAAAAGGTTTTTATTAATCATGCTTATCTAGCCCCATGGTTTGCCGAATCTTTTTACATCTTTTTACATTTTAAAGATTAACTAACCATAGTTGAGTATGTATAGACCACTAGTCATTGGCAAACCACTAGTTAAAGGATATCGACTATATATTCATATTCATTTTGACTGACAATTATCAACTGATGATATGGAAATAAGTAACTACTATTAAAACTAGTGATAGGATTGGAAATTCCTAAATCATTAGCCTTTGGGTTTGGTTGAAAAAATATGCTCCAATATATATATGTTAATATCTCCAATTTATTTCTATTTTTACTTTAACAGATGAAATATCTCGTCCTGGCACTTTAGCAACACGGAGCAGCCTGTTTTGATATGGAAGTCTGGTATTTTGGATGCAGAAGGTCAGGGAATGCCAAAAATAATACATAAAAAAATTCCCAATAAGTAATACAAATGTATACCTAACGTACATCCATATTTTATATATATTTTAAGTGGTTGTCCCAACCTCGATAATGAATTAAACTAATTAAGTTACTACATGTACATTAATGGGCGTTTAGTATTAGAAATGAAACTCATGGTACATTCTAGTATATGCATATTATCCTGGTCATTATGGTTAGAACTACCATATAAAAGAACATTTACATTTTCTCTTAGAAGAGGATCTATCTTATCTATTGATCTGGCAATCCTGTCATTATTATACAAAAGATATCTTAAAAAATCGTGCATCTTGTCTTCATTTAAACAACCACATTGGCAAGTTGAATTATCTCTTAGATAATCATTATAAAGATCTGCATTTAACTGGCTAAAATTATTTCTTAATTGTTTAATTTGCTGTTACCTCCATATTTAAAAGTTTGAACACACGTATCTTCAGCTGAAATAAAAGGTTCTGGAGTTTATTTCAGTTTATTTTCTAGCTTGTTTAAGGATACAGAATTTAAAATAGTGGTATTATTATTGTTCAATTGATAAGTAATATCAGGGAAAAAACTTCTGAGATAAAGATTTGTTCTAGCCCTTGGTTCATTAATTAGCCTTGGTTGTCTTATAGTATATATATTGTCATCTGGAGTTCTGATCAGTGGTTGAAGAATATCTATTAAATATTGAGGTGCATCATGGTGTAGTATTTATATAAACAAAAACAATAGTTTCTGATCATTTCTTCTTTTCTTTAAAGTATCCCACCAAGTTTCCTTGTAGATAGTTATGTGACTTGTGCCCGTCTTATACCTGTGATTATTCTTGCTGCTTCTAAGTGTAGGGATTCTAGCAGATTTTCCTCTGTTGATGTACAGTATCTTAATTATATCCTTCTGGCCACTTCTCTTGACTTATCTATTAGAGAAGCATCAATCAACCGTGATAGAAATATTACGATGGTCTTACTAATTTTGATTAAAATGTAAATATCCTTTAATTTTGCCACAATCATTTGGCATTTTTTGTCAAATAACATCTATCAGTTTTGTAAGCAAAGATTAAAGCGAGCATGGGTCTAATATGGGTGAAAACCGGAGTACTAGAAGAAACACGATCGGGGAATCGAGTTCCGGCCGTCTCGGTGAAGTCAATTATGTTATCCATTGCACCACCTAGCAAACACTTTCCTATTATTGTCTTTTGTTATTGTCATGACGCTATGATACCGTTTGTAATTTACATAGAGGCCAATCTCATTAAAATCAGATGTTAATAAAAACAAAAACAAAAAACAAAAAAAAGCTATTAACCTACGTGATAATGAACAGCTGTATTTATTCAGATTGCATAGAGGCAGTATATATCAGCCGATTTAAATGAGAAGAAATTCATTCGCTTTCCAGTGATGTGCAGATTGTTTTATTAATGTTTGTTTCTCAAACAGTTCATTTTCTGAAGAGTACAAAAGCAATCTGTCCATAAACAAAATATTGCTAAAGAAAGCATGTGATGTGATTATTAAGGTTCTCATGGCCAAAACACAATTTTAACATATACAATGGAGATTTCCTCTGTGCCGTACCAGCAGACCAGTAGTGTATGCACAGTGAAACCCAAGTAACATCAGATCCAATTAGTTGGGAAAATATGTGTCTCGAGGCCTAGTGTTCTATTAACCAACGAACCAGATATGTATTTTTTTCCTCATCGGACAGACACAGATTTTCAACCTTGTTCCGCGTGGATAACCAGCTCTAAACGTTATCGCGTACGAACTCGGATGTTATACATCAAGTTACCTCACCGTAAGATCGCTTGAACAATACATTGCCTGAAAGTTCACGACACTGAAAAAGTAAACATGTTAGTGGTTTTTTTTTCATATGATCTGTTGACAATAATTCCAGAAAGAAGTATTTTTTTACCTGTATTGCAAATATTTTAATATATATAAATGTAACGATATACTGTTTAATATAGCACAAGTTTGTCACTATTTTCATTAATTCCGTTTTTAAAATAAATAGATAAATATATATATAACCGGAGAGAATAGGGAAATGTCAACACTCGGTGAGGATACTCGACTGTCTACCCCTGGACTGAAGTAGTCAGGTAGGAAAGTCCACAATACCCTCCTTGACCATGAAAGGAAATTAATCGGTCCTACCCCGAGGTAAAGAAAGATGCTATTAGTCTTTGATAGACTACCAACCAACAAACTATTTATTTGTAATAATAAGGTAAAGTATTTCTTACCAAACAGACCAGACATATTATAGAACTGTTCCTTTTAAATAGTTCAACTAATTTTAATATAACTTGGTCGTTCTTGAAATGTTAGAGAAGGGTTTAACAGAGTGACTTTCTCTTTAAATCAGTCTCCTTTTCGGCAAATCGATCTGTGCAAGGCAAGTTTAAATTTGTTCATACAAGAAAGCAATTATTTTGTTAAGACAACAAATAATACATTGGGAATCTTATTTTAATGTTTTGTGAAAGATCATATGT